AGCGGATGGTGCGAGCATCATGAGTCACCAGGTGAGGGATTCCTTTTGTGCCCACAAAGATTTTTCGTACTTTGCACAATTTGTACTTGGCCTCCTCAGGTGTAATACGATGTACAGCAAAGCGACCCTTGGTGTCATAGATCAGACGGAAATTCTCTCCCGTCTTGTCAATGCTGATGACATCCATGAAACCAGCAGGGTAGGTTATATCAGTTCGGACTTTGCCATCGATCTTAATGAACCGCTGCATACAAATCTTCTTTACTTCATCTCCTGTCAGGGCATACTTAAGTCTGTTCCTTAGGAAAATGATGAGGGGGAGACACTCTCTCAACTTGTGAGGACCGGTGGATGGACGAGGAGCAAACACACCGGTCAATTTATCCAGCATCCAATGCTTTGGAGCTGCCACCCGCTTCAGATGCTTCTTGGGACCACGAGCCATGGCTGCGTTAGGCAAGGAAAGAGGACCTCCGTCTTCCGGTGAGCGTAGAAATTGGGGCTTTTTTTTTTCTTTTTAAGATGGCTCTGTCACCAAGACTGGAATTCCGTGGGCGCTATCACAACTCACTGCTACCTCCACCTCCCGGTTTCAAGCAATTCTCATGCCTCAGCCTCCAAGTAGCTGGGATTCCAGACGTGCACCACCACACCCAGCTAACATTTGTATTTTTAATAGAGACAAGAGTTTTGCCATGTTGGCCAGGCTGGTCTCGAACTCCTGGCCTCAAGCAATCAGCCCATCTCAGCCTCCCAAAGTGAATTTTTTTTTAAATAAGTTGAAAGAGTGCATTCTAAAATAATAAAAAGTACAGTATCATAAATACATCAACCAGTAACAGTCCTTTATTATCAAGTATCATGTACTATACATAATTGTATGTGCTATACTTTCATACAACTGGTAGTGTAGAAAGTTGCTTACACTATCACCACTACAAGCACATGAGTAAGGTACTGCAATAAGACTTCATGACAGCCATGATATCACTAAGCAATAGGAATCTGCCAGTTTCATTATAATCTTATGGGACACATTTCTTCAAAATTATCTCAATATCCCTAAGAGCTAGGTAAACAGGTAATATTGCAGAGAAGATGAATAAACTGGTACTCTTATTCCCTACCCCTACAACCTGAAACAATTTAAATGAAACGTATATAGCAGTGCTTCTCAAATTGTAACATGTTTCAGGATCACCTGAAGAGTTTGTTAAAATTAACTGCTGCAACTAGGTGGATCCTAAGAGGTCTGCATTTCTAACTAGTTCCAACATGAGGCCCATACTATACTAGTAGGGGACCACACTTTGAGAACCACTGATAAAGACAATTTACAGATAAAATCAATGTGCAGTATGTACACTGATTGCGTAATACACAATATGAATGATTTCTGTGAAGCCAAGACAACAGTCTACCTAACCTTGCTGAAAATCTCAAATATCTAGGATTTGATGGCTAGTAAATTACATACCACAATGTTTCCCTTTTCCAACCTTCTAGAAACTGCAAATTTGAAGTTATAGTCTATTTATTATATATTAGGAGCAGATGCATGTATCAGAAGTTAAATGGATCAGAAAAGACTGCAATATTTTATGGACATAAAAGTACTCCAGATGGATGGCAAATGACCCTCCCACATGGAAGTAACCTGAGAGTACCTGAGACAAAGTCAAGACTTTTCCTTTAAAAAAACTTATAACTAACCAAATAAATAAATGAGGAATTTAAACATTCCTATACCATATAATATTAGAAGGAAGCTCTTAGAAAAGTTTTTTAAATTGTGGTTATCAAATACCCAACAAAGCTAAAGAAAAAATTCAACTGTATTCCCATAACATATTTGGTACAATGTAACCTGTGAAGAAATCCTCCAGGATTAATGAATGCAAAATTAATCTGCTAGAAACTAAACAGAGTCTGCTACAAGAAGAATTACTGTGTGTAAACTAATTTCTGTACATCAGGGTAATGTGTCCAGATCATCCAACAGAATTTTAAGATCCAAAGACTTTTAAAAGATGGTAAGATACAAGTACTGGGGGGTTGGGGGTAGGAATGGAAGAATTCCAACTTCCAATAAAAGGAACCAACATTTCTTGGTGAAATGGCTGATTTCACCGCTGGGGCAGAGAAAAGTATAAGATGAGACTAGAACATTTGGTGCTGCTACAAAGTTAAGACTTCTGGCCAGGTGTGGTGGTTCATGCCTATAATCCCAGCACTTTGAAAGACCAAGGTGAAAGGACTGCTTGAGGCCAGGAATTTAAGACTAGCCTGGGCCACACAGCAAGACACTATCTCTATTTATAAAGAGAGAGAGAGAGAGAGAAGAAAAGAAAAAAGAAAAAACTAGCTGGGTGTGGTGGCACATACCTGGCCTATAGTCCTAGCTACTCTAGAGGCTACGGAAGGGGGATCACTTGAGCCCAGGAAATCAAGGTTGCAGTGAGCTATAATCACACCACTGGGCACTCCAGCCTGAGTGACAGAGCAAGACCCTGACTCAAAAAGGAAAAAAAAAAACCAAAGAAATAAAAAGAAAGTTAAGCCCTCAAAAAATGTCAAAAGGATCAGGAACCTCCTTGAAAAGGCTTCGCAGGCCAAACCTGGGATAATTACAGTACCAAAATAAATAATGATGGCAATAGACCAAATCCATAGAATAAGAATCTGTAAGTCCATCTGACATAAGCAGAAAAAAAAAAAAATCCATGAGTCCATTTTAATATACATAAAACATTAAATAAATACATAAAAAGGGAAAGTTCTTCCTTACCAAAAAACGACAAACCTAAATACAGAAGAAATGATGGAAATAGAAAATCACCATGGCAAAATCATCAATGCAAGTTAAAATCTGGGGCCAGGTAGTGGCTCACACCGTAATCCCAACACCTTAGGAGGTCAACATGGGAGGGCTGCTTGAGCCCAGGAGTTCGAGACTAGCCTGGAAAACACGGTGAAACCTCATCTCTACAAAAAATATGAAAAACTAGCCAGGCATGGTGATGTGCACCTGTAGTCCCAGCTACTTAACAGGCTGAGGTAGGAGGATCACCTGAGCCCAGGAAGTCGAGGCCTGCAGTGAGCCGTGATCATGCCACTGGGGGGGGAAAAAAAAAAAAAAAGCAAGGAAATTAAAAATCGGAAGTTAGAGTATGATGAGAAACGATAATTTAATTACCTGGTCCCAAAGAACTTATTTTTAAGTACATTCTCATAGGATACTTTTTTGTTCCCTCCTTTTCTGTACTTAAATTCTAAATCAACAATACTTATGAATTACAAAGGGGAAAAAGCAACTAGAGTGGACAAACCTGACTGATACCACCTTAACCAGGTGAACTGAAAGTTAGTATCACTGGTAATTGGACAAAACAGCATCATGTGCCTCTAAATAAATAAAATCACTTTTGCAGTATTCTTAATCAAAAATGTTTAAAATTAATTGAATCATAGGAAAACATCATACAAACACAAATTGTGGGATATTCCACAAAATTACTGACCACTACTTTTCAAAAGTATAAAAGTCACAAAAGGCAAAGAAAGACGGTGGAATTGTTTCAAATTAAAGAAAACTACGAAAACATAACTAAAATACAACATGTGAGTCATCTCATATTGTGATCCTGGACCAAAGAAAGGTCATTAGTGAGAAAGTGGGTGAAATCTGAATAAAGTCTACAGACTGGATACCAGTATTAGATGAATGGTAATTTCCTGATTTTGATCATTGTTCTATCATTGCACAAGATGTTAAATTTTGGGAACTTGAATGAAAGGCATATGAGAATTTACCTTTATTTTTGCCGTCGTTTTCCCGAGTCTGAAAAAAATTGGTGAAATCACCAATCAAAACCAAACTGGCAAGTCAGAATACAGTCTTATTTTTCTGTACAGCTAGTGCTCGACTTAGGACCACGGACCGGTGGTAACACGATTTGGTCGTAAGTTGAGTAGGCTATATGTACAGTTGAAATGGTGCACGCAGAGATGGTAGTGCTGCTGGAAGCTGGTCCACACTGTCGTACGCCCAGCTGGGCAATGTTTGCGCTGCCAGACACGGAGCAGTCGTGGCTAGCAATTGTGGTCGTAAAGTCGAATAAGTTGCATAGGTGGTAAGTCGATCAATACCTGTAATGTCAAATTAATGTATGTATCTGTGAAGAAGCTAGTCTCCTGTTAACCCAGACTTTCATGGTAATAAGCAAAATTACATGTTTAGAGCAGATATTGAGGTTAACGGATATAAACTATTATTGCTTCCTGCTTTAAAAAAAAAATGAAGGAATAAAGAGAAATCATTAACAATCACAAATAATCTTATATAATTCCTGCCAAAATTTTTACAACACTAATTGTCAATTGGGAGCAGTAATTCCCCTCAATGACTGTTGAAGTTGTTGTTTGAATCAGTAAATATATACAACTGTGAAACAATGACCTCACAATGAGGCAGAGGAAACAGGAAAGCTAGGACTATCACTCAATGAGTTGTCCTATTGACACATACTCCCTATGGGATGATGAAGAATGTGACTATGGTCAACAATAGGTAGTCTATTTGTTACTGCTATAAAATAGCCTCAGAGCCCGCATCTGCAGAACCTCCTGTACAGTAAGGTTAAAGAGCTTGTTGTTAAGTCACACACCCATTTAGGCAACTGAGCTGTGATTAAAACTGAGATCTCCTATGCTCCTTGAGGTACAAGGGGGGAAATAAAGGGAACTAACACTTTCCTAAATACAGCCATTAAGAAACATTCTCAACAGTGATAAATGGATAGCACGCAGACAAAGATGTTCACTGCAACACTTTTTTTATACTTATGAGTAAACTGGGAACAACCTAAACTTCTAGTAGTTAAATTGTAACACATCTCACCATTTTGGTAAAAGAGTTAGAATACTAAATGACTCAATAAATGCTCATTCACTTGTCAATAAACACTAAGTTATAAAAATGATTCTGCTTTCAAGTAAAGTTATGTCAGTGTATCTGTACTACTAAATTTTGGGAAAACAACTGCTGATTCAAGATGCCTATGTACTTTATTTTGATAGCTACTGTCAAACAGCTCTCCAAAAAGGCCACAAAAATGTATACTCCCAACAACAGTATGAGAGTAACTTTTCCCCCACATTGAAAAACGTATGTTATCAATCTTTTTCATGTTTGTGAAAAATAACCTTTTTAGCCCTACTCATTGTTTTCGTAACAAGTAAAAAAGGGAGGAGAGGAAGAGGAAGGTGGTACATGTGAAAGAGTACCATAGGTCTTTCCAGCTACAAGTCACAAGTCAAGCTTAAACAGGGCAAGGGCAGAAATAGACTTTCCATAAGTAAAAACATACTGGGAAAGCTATGAGATTAATTCAAGGTGATGTTAAAAAGCAATTAAGGAAAATGCAAAAGACAGTGACTGGGAAAAAAAAATGAAATTTTCCTAAGTTAAGTGCTCACTGACTTCAGTCTATTTAATAAGGCTACC